TCGACAATTTCCTCAGATGTGTCTTTAAATTGTTCTATTATTATGCATTTAGATTTCTGACGTGATATTTGAAGTACTAACAGAAATTTTCTTTGATGCGATTCCCGTGAAAACGACTGTGAAAATGACTCTCCTGAATTGACGGCGCAACACACTTTTGTTAAATTATGTGTAATGCTCGAGATATGGCCAACATAGATCCACAATATGCATAATATAACATGTAGTAAACTAGGGTATTCGTGACATTCGTCCACAAATAGCAAATTGAAATTTTAGACCGTTAGACCTCTGTAAAAAGGCTATACGGGAGGACGGGAAGAAGATTATCGACGAAAAACTTTATCCGGACTGTAAAGAACGTGATTGAGAGTCACCAATACCACACTATATCTCATAAATACCTGCAGTTTTGTGTTTTAAAGCAAAAAAAGAATATTATTTACTTGTTTAATAGATTTTAAGCTTGACAAGAAATGGTGTTTGGATGTTGAGTAGATAAGGCAACTCAAACTGTACAGGTACTCTTGGGAAAATGTTGAGAAAATGAAAGCTCATCACATATTTTTTTTTTATAATGCCCGTGACGTCGAAGATTTTGCTGCTCCGTGACTTAATGATATGTCCTGAAAAATCACTCCAAAATTGATACTAATTTACAACATTTTGATATGAAATTTTGAAGACCATATAAGTAAAGATTCTTTTTTATTATGTGTGTCATTTTGCTCGATTATGTCGTCAAATATTTTTTCTGTGCAACAAGTCCGCGTAATTTTTGAACGGCCCTCGTACATAAAAGAAAAAAAAATGCAAGTTAAAGAAATTCAAGGAGAATAGAAGTGCGCCGGTTCATGATCAAATCAAGGATTTGATCATGTGCCTTGATTTGATCACGTGATTGACCTACTTTTGTTTATACAAATCACCCAAATAAAAACAAATAAGGGAACCGCAAAGCGAAGCATCCTTGCAAGAAGCATGCACCCGACATTAATTCCAAAGAAAATCACATCACTTCCGTCACAAATTAACGATCACACACACCAAATCTGATACTTTTCCCCTCTAACTCAATTGCGAGGGGATAAAAGTCCGTTCGGACTTCATGTAATTTGATCACGTGACCAGCTCCATTTTTCTTCCAATGAATGTGTACTTGTACCTCTAAAGCCTATTACATGTACATTGAAAATCATACATTTTTTTGGATTTTTTTTAAAATAATGATGTTCTTTCAGAAAATTTAAGCAGAATAACTGGAATCATTGCCTCCCAAAGCTCAGAATTTATTGATGCATCGTTGGCTGTGGATAACAACTACAGACAGAATTATCCAGAATGTGCGCATACCGGAAAAAAAGCGAATTTTGCCTGGTTTCAATTGGATCTCAAAAACCGTTACAGTCTCAAATCTGTCAAAATATTCTTTAGAAATGAAGGTGAACCATAATTACACATTTGATTATGCTTGAGAATCAAATTGATATTTGAGAATATTTAAAGATTTTACATGATTTCTTTTTATTTTAATATTTTAAAGGTTTCAAAAAATACCTCTATTTTTGTATTTTTTCCCTTTCTGTCACCCCTTCCTTTTTCTTTTTCCTTTCCTCTCTCCCACTCACATATAAAAAGTCATACCATGAATGGAAATATAGGATAATGTTTTTCATTCGAAGTCAAAGAAAAAAAATCCTATTTATCATTTGATTATAACTCTACAAAGAATACAATGTGTGTTTCAGCTACCTGGCCTCCATACCGGATCCGACAGTTTTACTTAGATGTATCAAATTCATCAGCAGACACCTCAACACAGAGAGTGCGATGTTACACAGACAATACTACAGCCCCAGCCACGCCCGCTCCTGTGCTTGACATCCCATGTAAACAGACGGCAAGATACGTCATCGTCGAGACAACATACCATGCACCAGAAGATACAGATTCTACAGGACCTGTCTTGGAAATATGTGAAATTGAAGTGATTGGTAATCATTAAGTTTCTTGAAGGGTATTCGGAATAGATTTGTGTGCCTGTATAAAGTTTATCAATTTTACATCTCTGTATTTTATCATACTTTTAACATTTTTTCATATTTTTTTTATTTAAAAGCTTGTATATTTCTGTAAAAGATCAGACAATAAAAATAATAATAATATTGAATTTACATTTAAAAAAATATTGACAAAGTAGGTAATCTTAGGTTTACTTTTTTTATCGCTTTCAATATTGGTCAACATATCTATTGAAACCCTTTCACTTCAAATCGTTGCTTCGATGACAGTAACTTAGAATGTAATCCTTCATTATGATCTTTTGTTGTCACTGGCGTCATTGATACATACCATAAAATGTGTACTATATAAATGTTGATTTTACTCTTGCATGGCCCCAGACAATAATAATTACACTTCTTTGTACAAGTTCATATGCTTAAAACTTCTTTTGACTTTGAATATTTTGCTTCAATTTGATTGGAGCATATATTCAGATCAGTGTTATACAATGTAATCCTGAACAGTCTAAATATAGCTTTTTAAAAGGTTGTGAGTTTGGTCATTTTGGGGAAAACTGCTCGCCGTGTGAAGGTTGCTTTACGTGTGATATAGTCAATGGTGCCTGCTGTAAGTATACCTTAGGATAAATGATTTAAATATTTTATCTGTCTTTTTCAGTTAGGAATACTAAATCGGAAATTGTACATGCATTGATTGAATTGAAACGTGATTTTTTTTTTATTTGGACTAGCTTGTAGTATCAATTGTTTGGATGGCACGTGTAACCCAGCAACCGGTCATTGTGGTGAATGTAAAAGTGGATTTTGGAGTAAAACATGCAATGCAAAGTGTAATGATCGGTGTTTAGGAAACACGTGTTTTCAAGAGAATGGAACTTGTTTAAGATGTCAAGACTATTATTATGGAAATAACTGTGAAGATACCTGTAGTTCTAAATGTTTCCCTCCGGAATGTGATCGATTCACTGGTAAATGTAGTGGATGTGAGAAAGGATTTCATGGTACCTACTGTAAAAATCATTGCAGCCCATTTTGTAAATTAGAAACATGCAATTCAGCAGATGGTACATGCAATGAAGGGTGTAAATCAAACTGGACAGGTGGTCTTTGCGACAGTAAGTATGAAAAATTGTGCAAAATGTTTTCCTACTGAACCTCTAGAGTTATATGTAAATATTAAATGACCCATTTTAAACTCAGTGATTGGCTTTTCATATTATTATAAGATATCACTTTGCTTTGACTGTTTCTTAACACTTGAAAACTGTAAAATTACTTTTGTGTATTTTCGTCGGAACAAATTTTCAAAGTTTAAAGGGAAAACATCAGGGTTTTTTTAAGGAATTGATTTCATGGTTGGAAAATATTATATGTAAGGATGATTGAATGTATATTGTTTACATCCCTCTCGAGAATTTTTCACTCATATGGAAACGTCACCGTATGCAGGTGAAGGGCTTCAAATTTAGACCTATACTCGGCACTCAGGGCCATTGAGCAGTGAGGCTTCTTTATCGTGCCAACGCCTACCTTGATACGGGACCTATGTTTTTAAGGTCATATCCGAAAGACCCTTGACTTTCATTTCTGGTGCCGAGTGCTTGGAGAAGGAACAATCACTACCTATGTTATAACGTCTTAGGTATGACGTGGGGCTACGAACTAGAATCGAACCTGGGCCTCCCAATCACGAAGCAAACGCCCTACCACTAGGCTAATGTCACCAGTTTATATATATAAGAATTAATTGATATGGAATTTTATATTTCCTGGTGGTCATGAAATTGTTTGCCTCCAAATACCTCGAAAACAATTAAAATTTCCCCAAATGAAAATTTTTGATTTGATAGTAACTACATCATGACTATGATGTTACTTCTCTGATACAAAAAAAGATAGCTACACTGTTTTTTTTTTTTAATTATAGGATGTGATTCATTACATTTCGGACCAAATTGCTCTACTCGATGCAGTACTTTTTGCAAAGGCAATGCTTGTAACAATATCACTGGCTACTGTAGTGAAGGATGCAAAAATGGTTATTACAAAGACATTTGTAATGAAACTTGTACCCCTTTCTGCAAAAACGGATGTAACAGAAATTCTGGACAATGTGACAATGGCTGCATCGACAACCATTTTGGAATTGATTGTCGAAATGTCTGTAGCTCTGGTTGCGTTTCAAACTGTAATCAAACAGACGGGAGTTGTAGTTGTAAAAGCAGGTGGAGAGGAAAACGTTGTCAAGGTAAGAATAAACAGAACATACCATTTAATGATCTTATTTTGGTTGCTTACTTTATATCAAAATCGCTTCACATGGGAATCATGCAAAATACTAATTGACAATTTAGAATGTGATGCAAAATTCTTCGGTGAAACCTGTCAGCATAGATGTAGCCAATATTGTTACAATGGGACGTGTGATTCTAAAAATGGGACTTGTGTGCATGGATGCTCTGGAGAATTTTCCGACGACCAATGCACCAATCGTATGTGTCAATTGAAAAGTTTAATAAATCCAACATTTAAAAAAAATGTCAAGCTTATATATTTTTTTTTTGTAATGATTTTCGTCAGATTTGTAGTTAACTTTTAGAATGACATAAGAAAAATGTATTAATTTTGTACATATTCATATGTTTTCACGTGAATAATATGCATTATATAATCATGGGTAGGAGAACGTCAGATTCTAGATTATTTTCCCCTTTATGATCAAACTATTTTTGGTAACAAATGTTGCCTTTAGAATACAAATTTCTGTCAAATTTGCTCACTGAAAAGAGATACATACAGCTTTTTTTCGGTTTAGAATCGAAGGTCATGATGAAAAAAAAACATTTCTTCAGAAAGTCTTGTAAGAAAAGAATGTTATAAAGTTAATATTTTAAATGAATAATGAAAATACTTTATTTCAACATAGCTCTCATTAAAAACAGCCCACTGATACCCCGTTTGCTGCAATTGGTGCTGGACTAGGCTCTTTTTTAGTTCTACTCGTAATAGCAGTAATTGCTGTCCTGCTTTTCAGGTAAAAGATTCTATGGAATCGAATTGTACATATGCTGAGATTTTGAGTGACAAACCTACGGTATTCATGTATGTGTACCCAATACAGTAACATATTTATATAATTAGATTTTTTTAATATTGCAATGCCGTCTCATATTTTTAAATTCTTTATCACGTCAAGTATTTTTTGTTATATTTTAAAGACATACCATTTACGTACGTGCCTAATCTTTACAGATCAAGAAGAGGAAAACATCCAAATAATTCTGCTCCTACGACGGCTACCGATGGCTCTGAAAATCGATCGCCAGGTATATTCAAATAGAGTTTTACCTTTCGTAATATTCAAGGCATGTATATACTCCATATTGCTGATAGGTAAATACATGTTTTGTTCCTTTTGTTTCTTTCAAAGTTATGTGATTTTCCTGTTTTTGTTTAGATAAATACCTGTACGGGGTTTTTGTACTTTATTTTACCTACAAATATCGATAGATTTTGTTTGTGTTTGCTTTTTAAAGAAAGTCTAAAATGTAAGAATTCTTTTCATAATATTAACAAATTGTAAAAAAAAAGATCTTTTTTTAAATAACTCAAGGCAAAGTCTTTTCCAATATTATGCCTACGTCAACTTCTATCGAGGATCCGGAAGAAGAACCGCACGAAGAGGATCCGGAAGAAGCTGTCTACTATAAAAACCTAACAGTAGCTAAAGATATTCTGGTCAAAAATTTACACGATGTCATAAAGCAACGAGAAGCTAATAAAAATGCAGGATTTATTAAAGAATTCAAGGTACAGCAAATGATGCTATTAAAATGTTTTGAAAATCTGTGAAATACAACTAAACCAACACATTTAGGAAATGCACTAAAGGGTTCTCACAAGAAAATATTTTCACTACATGTTATTGTGTAAATTAAATAATTAACTATGCTGTGGGCAGGCAATGCATGAAAGAGAAAATAAAAGTAATTGCTTTCATTCGCTTTGAAACAAATTGTTACATGTATAAGCCATAGGCGGCTTTTAATGTAAAGAAGATTAAAAGTAAACATACTTGCCCCGAAACTCATGTGGATTTCACATGCTGATGAACAGTGTACACACCATCCTGGAAGCTGCTTAATGTACACCTTAAGGACAGATGATACAAACAAACTTTTGTCAAAAGATTTGAAAATAACAACTTCAGTCATGTTTTAATGTGTAAAATGAACAAGTTTCAAGATGTAGTTTTTAATTTTTTATTCAAATTTTCACCAAAAATGGGATTTGAAGTTAAAAATATTTGTATCGATTAATAAGGATGGTGTCAGAGAGGCAGGGGTTTGAACATCATAGAAGGTTTTCAATTTCTTAATATTCAAGAAATTTATTATTTGCATCATTTTGAATAAAATAAGGCCAAAAATATATACCAATACAGCCATACATTTTTGTTTGTATCATCTGTGCTGAAAGAAGTATTCCCTTTAAGTTCTGTGAGTGAAGAATTCTCAATTTTTATATTTACCAGTCAATGCTTAAATATATTTTTCATGGTTTAGTCACTTCCTTACGGTGAAAGGTTTGACTGCACGACTGCAAAACAGGAGGCCAACATGCCTAAAAACAGATTTAAAACAACTTTTCCATGCAAGTACTTTACACTTTATTATATGTACAACATTGTTTTCTAAGATGTATATTTCCAATAGTAATTTATTTTATTTGATTAACCTTACCACGATATGCGGTCTTGATGTGGCTTCATATTTTCTTCTTTGATGAAATATAAAAAAGATAACGAACAGAATTCAAGCTCAAAATTCTATATAACAGTACAATCAGAAACAGCGAAAGTAAACAGTGACCTCTAAAACATCAAAGATGGGATCAAGTGCCATGGAAGATTTAGCATTCCCTGCCGACCGGTCACACTCGCCGCGCGCTCTCTATCATGAGCGGGAAATAACGGACAATTCCATTTCAATTTCAGTATTTGACTTAATTAAATTAGTAAATAATCATCATTTACCGCCCACAGAAGATTCAATTTACTAATTTTAAAGTCAAAACTCGGTTTTTATAACTAATATTCTTTGATTTAAATTATATTTTTCAGATGATCATTCAAGGGTTGTTTTAGACATAAGTGACGGATATGATTCAGATTATATAAATGCAAATTTCATTGAGGTATGTTTAAAGGAATCTTTTATTAACAAGTAAACTCAAATTAACTTTTTTTTTATTAATTTTAAAAATAGACTAAAATATATAATTATCTATTTTCTCGTTTAGAATATGGATGAAAAACGAGAGTATATTGCATGCCAAGGTAAAGATCTTCAAAAAATATTCATTCACAATTAAGTTTGCAGTACCAAAGCTAAGGGTTTATAAAACGTTTTACATTACAATAATATGTTCATAAAGCTGCTGTGTTCAATTGCAATATTTACATTTTCAAATGTTTTTGCTTAAGATTTTTTGCAAATTTGAGTGTTGTATATTTTCTCATGAACTAAAATAGATGATCATGAATATCTCCATTGTCACGTCATAATACTTTACTTGACGCCAAACAATAAAGTGCAATATGATTTGCTTTAAAAATGGCAGTTGCATGTCGTAACTTGTGGTAACTCGTCAGAAAAATAATGTAAATATAAGACATGAATTCAACTTTTGAAGATTCATGACGTAAATTTACTACTACGCTTCACGTCGGCATATTTATCATAAAGCGCTGAAATATGCCGGCGTGAAGCGTCGTAGTTTATAACCTCATGAATCTTCAAAAATTAAATTTATTTCTTAATTGATTAGAATATGTCATTATCATGTGGCCTGTAAGAAGCAAAATGATATATTTTCTGTAGGTCCTCGAAGTAACACTATTGTTGACCAGTGGAGAATGGTCTGGCAGGAACACGTGGAATACATCGTTATGTTGACCAATCTTATTGAAGGACCAAAAGTTTGAAAATCACAGATATAATGTAAACAGGAAATTATCACCATTTTCGCCATATAGTTAGCTAGGCAAAAGGGGGCCAATTCAAAGAAAACTTTACGTAATTTCTTAAACGAAACTATGTCTCGACGAATTAAAACAGGGAAAAATGTTTATCCAAGTGCCAAAATGACATGGAATGGAAATACATTCTAACCCTGTCAAAAGAAGTATACACGAATAGCCCAAGGTTTCATTTTTACACCGTAGTCATTCTTTTTTTACTTATTTCCTATATTGTCTTTATTAAAAGGATACACAAATGCTTGAAATATTTTATTTAAAGGTGAAATGTAATCAATATTGGCCGAATGAGAGCGAAGAACTAAGACTGGGTCCATTCTCCGTGAAATTGATTGAAGAAAAATCATATGCATACTATGTTCTAAGGAAAATGACTCTTTCGAAAAAGAAGGTAATTTTACAATATAATATTCGACCTCTTTAATCCACAGTTTTGTTATATTCCTTCTTCTTCTGTTAAAAACTAATACTGCTGCTAACATTTGTTTATTAGGTTTCTGGGTCAAGGACGGTTGTACAGTTCCATTTCACAAGATGGCCTGACCACGGAACGCCTAATCCTTTGAACCTGATCATGTTTCTCAGACACTTCCGGCATAAAATAAGACCCACCAATCATCCAATAATTGTCCATTGCAGGTTTGGGTGTACATTTCTATCCTCTGAAGATCAAACTGTTGTCAAAAATATTATACCTTTTTCTCTTTAAAAGTACAACATTGAATATAGGTTTCCCAGTTTCTTTTAATATAATTTAGATCAATATATGAATATATGAAACTAATATTATCTGTATAACTAATATTTTTCAAGTCTATTTCATTTTCCATTTCTTACGAGAAAATGCTTTAAGAATTATCCACATTTCTAAAACTTGTGACATCATATTAAGTCTCTTTCAAAGAAAAAATCTGATTATATCATCTGTCCTTAATTTATGTTTAAATCAATGTTTTAATTAGTGCTGGAATCGGACGAACCGGGACATTTATTGCTCTGGACGTTCTGTCGAGGTACGGAGAGGAACATAACAAAATCAACGTCATCGAGTTTGTTAAGGCCATGCGTAAAGATAGGATGACCATGATTCAAAACGCTGTAAGTTGGCAATTGTGTGCCTCTCTTGATTTAGGTGTCAATTTTAATTTTGAAATGGAGAAAATGTCCATGTACCATCTTCAAACCTTATCTCATTTTGATGTATTTAAGGATCAGTACGCCTTCCTTTATCATGCTCTGTATGAGTACTTCAGGAGAAAGGATAATTTTGTCAGCAGGACAGAGTTTATGGAGTTATATGGCGAAATGGAGAAACCAGAAACACGAAAACGACTTAGAAATGAATTCAATGTGAGTATTTAATTTCAAAACTATATTTCCAGAAGAGAACAATTCTTTCACATACATAAGCATAATATGACTGATAACAAATACATCATCTGAAGATCTAATGTAAGATCATGCAAAATGAAACATTGCATTATATAGTTTCAAATTGCACCTTTAATGTCATTTAGTTTGCTTTTCAAGGAGGCCTTAAGTCATCAAATGATTTAACGTTTTTAAAATCCTTACCAATATGAAATTCTTTTTTTTTTTGTATTAATTTGAAAGATTGATTCAATTACTATATTCGTGTTCAAACTACATTTTTTAATTAAAAATATTGATTGTATTGTTATCGTTTAATTAAGTAAATCCTGTTTCATGTAAAATTGCTTAAGCTGAAGGATTCAATTGATAAAAAGGACAGGTTAAGTGTACTGTTGTTATGAAAAATGAATACTGAACTTTACCTATATATATTCTACGATGGATATTTTTTTGGCTTTCAAGGCTGTAACAAGTTTAAAGCCACACTACACCACCGACGACTACAAAACAGGAGGGCAGAACATGAAGCTCAGTTTTACCAATTCTGTTTTACCAGGTTATGTAACAAGTTTTTTTTTTAGATTTTAAAGGAATAAACTACATCTGGATATTTAACTGAAAGAAATTAATGTTTTGAAATAAATTTCAGTTGAAAGATATCTTGTGTATCTAACATCAACTGTGAAGGGACGAGAGCAATATTACAATGCAGTAAATGTCTCGGTAATTCTTATTCAACATATTTCTGATTCTATCAGTTCAAAACTTATTTAATAGCAGTATTAGAAAATTTTTAATTTTTTGACATTTTTAGTCGTTTACCAGGGCTGAAGAGTTCATTTCTGCGCAATTTCCGGTATCAGGAGCCGCCATTGATCTCGCTCGTTTGCTGATTGATCAGGAGTCTCCATTCCTGATCTCACTGAACCCTTTATCAGAAATAAACGAGGTGAAAAATATACCTTGATTTTTTATTTCAAATTAACGAATTTTTTTTTTTTTGGTACCAGTAAAATTTTTCTCTTTAACAAGATAAAAGATTGGGTTGAGAACACTGCCAAGAAGATTGATTTGGCTCCATATGAAATCTCAAAGAGTACACATCAAAGGATTACACACAACATTCGAAAAACAGACATTAAAATCAAAATGAAACACGTACGTTTATTTTCATTTTAATTTATATAAGACAGACCATATAAAGATTATGGATACAAAGATTTACTTGAATTTTAAAAAACACAAAAATTTCAAATAGGAATTTTAGAATGTGTGAAACTCGAACATTGAGATCACAAGGTTTTTAAATAAAATAATGTTTCCCGCATAAAATAATTTCCCGAAAAAAACAATTTTACCTTTTAAAACATGAAAGTCAAAAGGAATCTTCTATATATTTTTCACATTATCCGTAGGATGAATGTCATGAAGTACAGGCAATTGAATGTCTTGATTGGAGTTTGCCTGAGTTTCTACCAGCACAAACCTCTTCAATAACAAATTTGATAAAGCAGTTCTGCTCGGATAGGAAGTCAAATCCAGATGGCCCTGTGACCCTTATTTCGAAGTATGTATTACAACTTTCAAGAAAAAAATATTTTGAACTATCAGTGCTTAATGTAAACCTATAGGGTTTAGAATGGACATTTTTTTTGAACGTTTCAAACTTGGACCATAAGCATTTAGTATCATAATCATTTTATTTAAAATAGTGAAATTATTAGTGATAGTTTAATAAAATGAAAGTTTATTAAACAAGAATGTACATTATTATTGTACTACATACAGTGACTTTATAATTGGAAAATAGACCTTAATTCCATGAACTATAATTATCTTGTTAAAACAAATTGGATTTTGTTGTTGCTCAAATACACTTTAATTTGGTAAATCATCTTGTAATGAAATTGATCCGAATAGACCAATCAAGCCCATGGATATTAAGTAATGAAAATTGTACGGAAATGCAATGGTATTGTTAAGATTTTTGACTAAGAGCAATAACATTGGGAACTTTGAAGTTAATAAATATAAGAGCTAAGGGCTAGAATACCCTGTGGTGCAGAGATGGGGAATGAGCCCATGAATATAAGTAATGATTATTCATTGAGAGTGGTGCCATGTTGGGGTTCATAGATCAACGGACAGACCTAAGGACTGAGCGTATGCGGTTAGTGATGGTGGGTTAACCAATGAAATGTATTTTTATATCCGGGACCATGGATACCCACTGAGCACAACCTGTTCTGGTCAAAAAAGGGCATTCCCGTTCTTATTCCCGTTTTATTCCCATTCCAGTTCTTATTCTCAAATTATCAATTCTCTCTTAGCATTCTATTTTATTCTTTTGGATTTTTGCTTATTTATTTATTGGGAGTTCGGTCTTCAGTTTTTGGTATTTTGGATAGACCCTTTGAACATTTATATATATCAACAGTGTATTGGTTTATACGGATCAAGTTTCAAATTTCAAAATACTAAAAATCTATACGATACACAAAAATTATGAATTGGATTAATAAACTTTGAAAACCAACCAAAGTGTCCTCATTGGCTTACATTAGTAATATTTGTTTAAGTATTGTTTAGGAATAATGTTATGTTAAGAATAATTTTGTCGAAGGATTTATTTTTTTTCTAGGGACGGAGCAACGTGCTGTGGCGTATTTATTGCTGTGTATAACGCCATAGAACAGCTACAGCAGGACGGTGAGGTAGACATATTTACCACAGTACAACAACTGCAATGTCGCCGACCGGAAATGATATCTACCAAGGTAATTGGCACAAATTTGATATTTAGGATAGCATATGTGTATAATCAGGAGTTTGATGCATTTAAAAATTCTAAAGAACATATTATTCAATTGTTTTTCTTGCAGGACGAATATGAGTTTTGCTTTAAGGCTGTGTGTGAATATCTGACTTCGGACAGCATATATGCCAACACTTAAAGAATGAATATTTCTATGGATTGAATCTTCATGGATTCATGAATAAAGCTACTTTAGCGTTTTTACTTTTGAAATGTCTTTCTTACAGAATGTAAAGGACTTAACTGACATTTATTTCTTAATATGTAGACACGGGCTCATGTTGTAAATTTGAAAAACTATTGAGCATATTTCTTTAATTCATTTATGCAGTCGATTTCCGGAGTAAGATTCAATGTTTTTCGTACGAACGATCTGTGTTTTTTTTTATTTTACTTTCAATCAGAAAATAATCAATGTAATGAAAGAATGGAGGCGTACAAGGCGAGGACACCCCCCTCCACCACCCGCTCTGAGAAAAGTCATTTTTCAATTCTACAAGTTATATTTTTCAAATTATATTGTTTATATAATCTTTTACACTTTTAATTCTGTTTTTCATTGTTTTAATATTTTATTATTTAGTTTTCACTCATGCTTTTAAGATATGGGAAAACAAAAAAGAAAAGGCTTCACGTATGATTCGAACTCTCTCCATAGTGCAGGCTTTGTTCGAAGATAGACCGCTTTAACCACTACGCTACGAAGTATATGCATTATCGACGTCGGTCAATGTGATTTAAATGAAAGGATTTTTTGAAGCGTACATTTTTTCCAGAAATTTTCGATTTTCATGTAGAATGGGTTCAGATTCCAATTTTTGGACAAATGAAATAGATTTTACATTTACGTTTCCATCATTTAAGCGTTAACGAAAAATGGAGACTTGACCCATTCATGTTCAAAATTCATTGTTTATAGCTCCAATAAACCCATTTTCCACTAAATATGCTTAACTGTCAACTTTGAAATAAAGATTATCAAATAATAAGTCGTTCAGTAAAATAAAATAAATGTTTTGAAGATGACATTACCGAGAACATGATTTTAGAAAAATAAAACCTTTCTGTGATTTTTGAAAATTGAGAAACATTTTGTCTCAGAGCGGGGGATTGTCCTCGCCTTATACGCCCTCTTTCCTTGTTTTTTTTTTACCTGACGAATAATTAAAGGAAATACTTAAACATACAATTTTGTTCAGTGTTTTTCTTTATTGCTTGTTGTTTTAAGATTCAGCTTAAAATTTTGTTCGTCACCCGCGGGAAGCAACCCTAGACTCGCTGAACTTTTACCAGCACCTACTGCGACACGGGACCTCGGTTTAAACGGTCTAATACAATTAAAAGACAAGTCTTTACGTCCTGGGATTCGAACACGCGACCTAAAGATTTACTCCTTATTTTGCAAATCTAGAGCAGACGCTCTAACCACTGCGCCACGCAGGAGACATCCTATTAAAGAGTTGCAATGTATTCAACAATAAAAGATTTAATATACA